TCCAAACTCCAAAGTTAAGCCCAGAAAGAATGCACTAAATTGCCAAACAAATGAACATTATATATCACACAATGGCACTGTATAGCGTTTCAACAAGTTTCTCTCAAACTCACCGCCTTCTCTTGTTCGCAAAGACTTCTTATCTTTCATCTTCGCTTGGATAAATAGAAACTGCACCAACCATTGCCACAGCAGAAGTCCATAGGGATTAGATTATAATTAGAACCACTCCAACAAAAAGATCTCTTGTCCATCAATTTTCGCGTCGAAAGTGTTCCGCGCGGCATGTAATCTTTGCTAATTTTAGCCACTTACACAAAAGATCGCTAAATTACCACACGTGACAGAATTAAATCACAATTGAACCAGAGGACCTTCAAATTTATTCCAATATTTTACTTCATCTAGAGACAAATGTCAAGATCCTCTTAAGATTTGGCCCTGAGCGTAAGCACAGTCTCTCCAATAAGTCACATATTTGCAATGTTAATGTAATAAACTCTACAAAAGAAACACAAGACCAAACTAAACAAAAATAAAGAGGTAAGCAAACAAACCGCCTTTTGTAACAAAGCTTCAAAGGAAGTAGTGCAATTCGTCTATAATACAAGCCCTTGTTTTTTAAAAATCTGCCAAGCTATACAAGCTATATCGAATGCTCTCGGTCTGAGAAGACAAAAAAAAACAAAAAAAAAAAAAAAAAACGAAATGAATGGTGCCATGAAGGCGAAGCTGACAAGTATTTTGGCATAGAGAATAAAAGCTCTTTAATTGTGAGAGAAATCTGGAGTTTCCAGAAAACTCCCGCGCACGTGCATTAAAATATGAAAATAGAAAACTGAAAATGAGAACTGATGTCTAAACATGTGAACAAGTTGAACAACGAGTATTATTACAATTCATTTCCCCCTAGATCTAAACAATGTCGACTCAACAAAATGATAATGTTTCAGACATTTTGAAACCAACGAAAGAAATAGAAATTCAAGGCCTATAAGGCGATTTAGAAATCTAAGTTGGCTTCGCCCCGCTAGGTAATCTTCGTTGCGTGACTGAATAAGGAAAAACGATCAACTCGCGTGACATAACAGTCCAGGCTTTTCAAAGGTGCGTGATGTCACGACAATTTGTCTGACTGCCACGGCTGCTTACACGCGAGTCATAAATGAGCACAGCTGTACACAATTAGCGACCCACAGAAACTATATGATTATAAAGATCAAAGCTTGAGGTTATTTCTCGCACCATTATATTTGAAACCCGTCCAAAACTCGGAGAAATCGACCTCATAATTATTGTATGAAGAAACTTAGTAATCGAAAGTCGATGGTATCATGACAGATTGATGAAATGCTGGTTGTTTTTCTCAGACGGATGATCACAAAATATATGCCTTTCAAGGGGAGACCAATGGCTTAGGATTTCATAACCCAGAAAATCGTAGCAGATTGTTAACCACAACCCTTAGGGTCTTTTTTGTTTTGTTTTTTTTATTTCATTATTTTCAGTCTCGATTAAGGCAATCCCCCCGTAAATATAAACAATAGTAAAACACATTGGTTCTTGAGACCTGTAAACGCATCCTTAATTTGTTTCACCCTTAAACTCCCGCGAGTGACCAAGACATAATATCCCCTTACAATATCAATACAATATCAAGCCGGCAAGCGATGAGAATAAAGAAAAATATCAGTCAGGGAATTATAAGTTGATTCAGCACTAAATTCTCCAAACTAATATCACAAGAACTGTCTGGCAGACAGTAAGGAGAATTACTAACGAGATCTTGAGAGTTAAAGAGTTAATCATAATATTTGGCTCTTCAACCAGAAGAGACACACCTCAGCACAACAACCTGAGCTAGGAGACTGGAAAAGTTAATGAAGTGAATAATTTATGGCACATCAAAACAACTAACAACGGCTAGATCGGGACAATTTCGACTCAACAAGGTAGCAATTTTTCATCTATTTTAGAAGCTACCCATCAAGAAGAAATTCAGGGCCTATGAAAAAATCGAGAAGTGTAAGTTTGCTTCGCCACACGAAGCAATCTTCGTTGTGTGACTGACCAGGGAAACTACGCATGTAGACAAAATCATCTGGCGTAACGCGACAATTGTTGGATGCTGCGACTGCTTTTATGCGGGTCATTTATGAACGCAGTGAGGTACCTACGCAAACTATGTGATTCGAGTGACTAAAGCTTAAACTAGAGGTTTCTCTTTGCACGGCTGTATTTGGAATCTGGCCCAAACTCAAAGGGCCACGAATGATATACAGAAACCATTAATCACCGGATAGACTGATGGGGTCGTAGCTGAATCTTTTTTTCGTTGTTGTTTAGAGACTGTAATAAAAAGCCAGTTGTTGTTAAGCCCTATAACCCCCATAAAATCAATAAAACGACTCTACTTGTGTTTTATGGCGATGAGGGGCCGGCCTGACTCACCAACGACTGTGGCGAGGTGGAATAGCGAAACATGCACTTCGTACGATCAACTCCTTAATACATTTTGTAACACGGCAAAAAGGATAGGATGACGATGATAGAAAATGCTTTGTTTGAGGACAACTGTGCAAATTGGTGGAAAATACCTTAATCACGGAGCTTAGCGGTTTCTTACAATTTCTAATACACTTAGCGATTCAAGTAATCCTCCCAGAGCGTTTGGCCTAAATGAGAACAATTGTGAAACGCACTGGTTCTTGAGATCTTTAAACACCCCCCCCCCCCCCCTTACCTTAATCTGCATAGTTGAATCTAAATGATTTGAATAATCAGCGAGAAAAGACACATGTTATCGGACAGTTTACTAAGCCAATCACTTTCAAAGTTGTAGTTTAAATCAACCAATCACATTCAAACAATTTACGCCTTCTTTGACAGTCTTACAATGCAAACTTTTCTTTCCTTTCATAACTTGACTATTCCTCTTTTCTCGGAAATTGCAATTTTTATGATTAAATGGTAATAAGACTTCGTGTCGTCCAATTCGGTCTGTAAACATACTTGTGATAGACAACTCGGACTCCCGCTACGTCGTCCGATTTTGTTATCACTCGTATGATAACAGACTGAATTGGAGTCCACCCAGTCCTATTACCATTGCCAAGTGTGTTGTGGCTGGAAATAAAAAAGAGAACAAAAGAGATCAAATACCTTTGAATGATAAATTGACTCATGTAAACAAGCATGAATTGGCAGGTGACTCAAAAAAGAATTAACTTCTACCGTCTGAGGACTTAGTTGTCAATATGTCGTTTAGCCGTCACGATTGTGCTCGTGAAATGCTGGAAGTTTTTTCATTGCAATTGGAAAGCTATAAAGTTGCTTAAAATTACCCGAAGTTCAAAAAGTTGTTAACTGAATTTCTTGATGTTTTTATATAAAATTTCATTAAATCAATTTCGTTCTTCGCAATGATTGTTAACATCGGTGAAGAAAAACAACTTGAAACATAACTTTAAAGAGTTTATCGCAGATAAAGACGGCTTCTCACCATCCATTTCCGTAGTAAATTAATAAAGACGACCATTTTTGTCCGTCATTTTGGCTGATTATCCGTTCTAATATCACATAATAGGCTTGCGAACCGTTGTCAATTTACAGGTTATATGTTCTAAAGGTTGTTGACATTTAGGAAATTCGCAAAAATTCAAGTTTTTTTTTTATAAAATCAAGTTTTTTCGTATTCTAGATCTTTCAAGCTTTACGGTGATATATAGTTTTCAAGAGTTTTATCAAAAACAACGCGCCTACAAAGACAAAACAAATGTAACTAACAAAAAACGGCATAAGAGAGGGATGAGGCAATAATTTATTAACAGGCGTGAATCAGCAAGTGACTAAAAAACAAAATTAATGTTCTCACCTGTTAACTTAGTTTGAATAGTTCCATCTCACTTCTCTGTTCATCTTTTTTCAAAGTGAACATGCATTTATTGGTACTTAGTCTTGTGTGCACAGTTGTTTATGGCGTAAGCCGTATTTCAATGCCAAATCTTAAAGCTGTTAGCTTCGCTAAAACGATATCAGGACGAAAGTTGAACGGAAGTCTGATCAGGGAAGTAGAAGTGGATTCGGAGAAGACCTGTCAGTTTGAGTGTGTGGGTGAAGAGCGATGTCTATCCTACAACTTTGGAACTACAAAAAGCAACTCTAAGATGTTCAAATGTCAGTTGAGCGATTCTGATCGATTTTTTGGCGTTGCCAACTTCACTAAGGATAAAGATTTTAGTTACGGCGGTGTACAGGTGGACTGATCTAATCATTTTCGTAAATTCCTCAGTTTAGGTTACACTTAAGCATTTTGCAAACTAGCTAGACGTGTTAACATCTATGTGTTTGTGGAGAAATCTGCCGATGGCACGATAGTTGACATTTAGGAATCTCACATAAGCATTTTAGTGGGAATTGAAACTCCTAATGAAGGGCCGAAGTGATACAGCTTGATCTTGAAAAACTAATGTAAAACTTATAATCATGTAAGATTGGTAATTGAAGAACAGTGAAAAGTCAGCTCAAAAATTGCCCATAGACCGAGATGCTTCATTAACAGAATCGAAATTACTTGGCAAATATGAAAAATATCGAGTTGACCCAAAACTTGTGCAAAACACAAACATAGCTTCAGTTGCTGGTGACGCTTCATTAAAAATTAATGTTTACAAAGGTAAAACAGTTCACCGAACTTCCAAGTTCAAACGTAGAGTCTTTCCCCAATCTCTTCGCGTTCAAAGTTGTCACTGCATCTCACTCTTCACTAGCTCTCTAAATGGCCCGGGCGTTTGCCATGTCGTTTTGCACGGTTGCAATTTAAGTAATAGTTTTTGCTTTATTACTAAGAGACTTGATTAACAGAGGGGAAATTTGTAGGTGCTCCCACCCAGGGGATGGATAATGACTGCCTCCTAAGTTGCATAATGTTCTTCGGAAGACAGTTTCCTGAATAAATATGAAACACGCTAAGATGAGTTTTTATATTATTTCAGCAATTCGCAGTTTTCAACGAAAGATCATGACAATGATCACCACAATTGCAGCTGCAGCGAAATCTTCAAGGGAGCCTGGTGGTACGTCGCCTGTCATGCGTCTAATCTGAACGGATTGTACCTTGGGGGTCCACATAAGTCTTATGCAGATGGTGTGGAATGGAACGGTTTCAGAGGCCACTACTACTCTCTGAAACGCACTGAGATGAAATTGAAAATCAAAAAATGAACTGTGCTCGAGGGTAACCGAGAAGAAAAGCATTTGAACTTAGATTCACCGTAAATGCTATACATTGGTGGAGCAGGGGGAGGGGGGGAACGTTAGTCGAACGCGAGCCCCCCCTTCCACCCATGCACTGAACTTACACAGTAAATGTACTTAACGTGATATGCAGTAGCCCAAAATCGTTTTTATCCCATTTTTAATAGTTTTATCTAAAGTTGTATTCCATTATAACATGTAGTAGACGTAACCACGAGCTCATTTCTATTCAGAGTTTATATTCAATAATATCTTAACGCTGAATTTTAATTTTCCTGATTTTATATGAAGTTGCGGCTCAGTTAACAGCCGGATGGTGCAATGGTGCGGTAAGAGCCTTCGCTTCCCACAACTCCTCCTGAATTTAATTCCCGAACCTAACATTACGTATGGATTGATTTAGTTGTTTTTTCTTTATGCTTTTTTATCGTCCTCACTGCCAAAGGTTCTTCGGCACTACATTCTCCGCAGAAACAAAATTCCCGATATCAATTTGACCGGAACAGTGACTGAAAAAGAAATATATTCCTCTAAAAACGAATTATTTATTGTTAATTAATATCAAATACGCATTTAACCACTTTTTCCATTTTTTTCTCAGTATGTGCATGTTATAAGGTCGAAAATGCTGATAACTGATCCGTCAAAAAAGTCTTATGTCTCTAAATACAATAGACTGGCAACCATCAAATGTTTTTTTCAATGGTTCATTTTTTGCTCCAGCAAGATGCTGCTTTTGTATTAACACATTAATATTTAGATACAGATTAAGCTAATGTCATTTTAAGGAACCGTTACTTTAAAAACACATTTCGCTAAGAAGGTGTAATAAATATGATGATTTTTTTTTTCTTTCTATAAGCATCATGTACGAATGAAATTAAAATTTTTTTTGTTGCAGTGCAAAGTTTAAAATGCAATTGAGAAACGCTTATCTTAGAAAAAAATCATCTGAAAAACGCTGGCGTTTGCAAACTACTAGTGTCTTCCTGACCATTGATGCTGCTCGCGCGCGCAACAAAACTGCTTTCCTTTTGAAGGCATTGTTCCCCGCGCGCAAGGCATTCGTTGCGCATGTACGTCACCATTTTATCCAGTTTCCATGGTGAATAAGTAACGGTTTCCATAAAGTCAACAGACCCCTCGATTGTTTTCATTTTGGTACACTCCATTGTTGCGAAACAAACACTTTGTTACGATTTTTTGGTCATTGTTTACAAAGTTTTGTGGACATAATGCTTAACTTGACGACATCAAAGGAAAAACGCAACGCTTCAATTAAGGAAACCTCTTCAATTCATATCGCTAGATCGCGAGAGGAGGGAAACGCACGCAACGAAATCCACACTCCGAAGAAGTCTACGCAGATGCAAAATGGCTTACCTAGCCATTCAACGCCGAATGACAAATGTAAAGTACCTGAATTTTCGTCTCCAATGTCTCCGGTGCAAAAGTCTGAGGACATTTCATCATCAGCATCCGAATCAACTCAAAAAAGCAGTCCTGACGGCTTCAAAGGATTCACAGTCGATCCGATGAGCCAAACCTTTCTGCGCATGCCACATTTGTACCACAGCCTGCAAGCGCAGTTGCAACAGAACAATTCGCCGAAAGTCAAGAGGCCCATGAATGCGTTTATGATCTGGGCGCGATTATACAGATCGACGATTGCGAAGCGGTATCCGAACGCAAACAATGCGGAGATAAGCGTCAAGCTCGGCGAGATATGGAATGAATTGTCCACGGAACAGCAACGACCATATTTTGACGAAGCTTCGCGCTTGAAAGAGAAACACAGAAATGAACATCCGAATTGGGTTTATCAGCCAAGACCGTCGAAAAGACGCTTAGCATATATTACAACGGGTAGCCCCAGTGGGATACCCTGTAATACTGATTCTTATGGCTATCACCATCCTTATAGTCTACAGGCAGACAGAGGCAACATGTCGGTATCTCCTCAGACGATACGAGATCGTGCAAATGCAGGATCACTCAGCTTTCAGCCAAGAAATCTTAAAGACGCATTTAACATGGCGCAGATGGATCGCGTTCCTGCAACAAACATAACAAGCGCGAGCAGTAAGGCTGCTGCTGACCACGGATTTGCCAATAGAGTGTTTACCAGCGCAGAGAGAGACGCCGCACGTGGCAAAGAAAACGATTGCATTCCGTTTTATAGTAAAAAAGAAGAGGAACAAGCCGTGGATTGGCTGAAAGTTGAAGCGGCAAAATTCGAAGAGGAGCAAATGGTGGCAAGACGTGCGCGCGAAAACTGTATAGTCAATGACGCAATGCTCCCTACAGTCAATCACGAGACCGACGAACAGGAACAAGTAGCAAAGATCAAACAAGAAATGGATAGCGATGGCACCGATCTTGACAGATACCTTGCAGGACTGGATGAAACTATCAAAGAAAGCCTTGAAAAACTCAACGACGTTCCCGATGAACTGGATTTCCTCGATGATGGAAGTTTGGATATGTTAAGTGACATTGAGGATACTGAGAACGAATAATTGACCACGAATAGTTAACTACGAATAATTAAACACGAATAATTAACTACGAATAATTGACCATGAATAATTAACAACGAATAATTAACTACGAATTATTAACTACGAATTATTAACTACATAATATCTGTAGTTAAATCTGTTCCAGAGAATAAATCAAAACTGACCCGAGTTAAAGGGAGGAAAAATATGCTTGAGAAGTTTAATTGCCTAAAATTCAATAATAAAGCAAAATAAAGACCTGAGTTTTGAAAAGAGTTTTATTTGCACTTACCGGAGTAATTTCTATGTTTAAAACTCAGAGCCTGTTGTCGTGTTTTCTTTACGTTTCGCCTTCTTTCGAGCAGTAAAGAAATGATTAGAATGGAAGGCTTAGAATAAGCCTTACTTATATGCAGGTAAAAAAAAGAAAACAACTTTTTTAACAAGGAACACTTTATTTCTTATGACGGAAGTTACACAAAGAACGTAAAAATGGTATTAAAACTTGAAGAATCACTCGCATACACAAAAAGTATGTAGATATGTGATTTAAATGATAAAAATACATCACAATAATCGCTCAACCTCGCCCGTACTTCTTCTTTTAACTAAAAAGACTGATTATGTTCGAGCTTTCATCCTCACAAGTAATGCCACTGCCTCCCGTTCGCGGAAGAACGGAAGGATGTAAAATCTGTGAGCTCAGCAGCAACAAGCCTTTCTTTTTCTTCCCTACCCCTTCCTGTGTCAGTCACCTGTTTTGCCCACTTTCGCCCCATGCCCCTGCGCGGCTCAAGTTTCCTTCTATTGGATAAAAGTAAACGGAAAGGCCTGGTACGCAGGCTAGTCTTCAAGGTGAAAGACCATCGTTGAAGTTTTTAAACACAGGTTCTTAATTATAAGTGAAACGAGTTTAGCATAACAATATAATCACCATCTAGAGTTAAGATCTGAAAAAAACTAGCATAGAGTCTTAGTCTTATGTTACAGTAAGTGAAAGAGCGGTTTTAATTATCAATTTATAAAACTACAATTCGTCGGTGGCTAAGTGATGAAATGTGTATAGCTGACAACATGATTTCGAGTGAAATTCGGTGTTAATACACGAGAGCAAATTTCTTAAATACAATAAAATTAAACGAGCCTGTAGAGCACAATTTATAAGTGCTTATTTACAACAAATTGTACGATCGAGAAATCATGTTGCTACTTATTAATAATTTGATTGAAAAACCCATAGCACAAAGTCAAGACGGACGAAATTTTGGCAGCGCGTGCGCCATATGTAATTTGCATTTGTGTTACTTATTTGCAATAGTGTTACTTATTTGCAATAGTGTTACTTATTTGCAATAGTGTTACTTATTTGCACTCGTGCTACTTATTTGCAATAGTGTTACATGAAAAATGCACTCGTTTTCAGCCAGTCAAACGCGCGCGATTTTTGCACGTATAATATTTAACCAAAATTATAAATCTGAGTGCGTAAAGGAATATAAACTTAAAAAAGGTATTTTCTGTCATGCTGCGCAAAAATTGCCTCCTAATAGGAAAACTTCAGCTTTTCTGTTACTGATCAAAGAACCGACAATCTTCTAAACCTTTCATTAAGAAGATTACAATATAAATTCTCCTTTTTGTCTTCTGTACGTTTCATACGATATTGTTTATGAGAATTTAGTGCTTAACTTACTGGTGATGTTTTCGATTATTCTCAGCACCTTTCTGCTTGATCACGTATCAATATTGTGAGGAGAAATTACAAATTGGTCACTCCTAAGAGTGAAATATCTAACTGGTGAAAAAATCTTAGAATAGAATATCTGTAGTAAAGGTAATTGATGGGTTATCGACATGATTTTTTGTCACGAGTAAGTATTAACTACAATGACGTCCAGGAGACGTAAAGCTGAAAATATGAAAAGTTACCGAATGTAGATACATAGTTGCAATGTGGCTTTTATGAGAGAGTTCACTGCGAACTGGCTCACTTTTGTAACAAAAATTACGTTTAAATTACCAACTGAGCCTCGCTATAGATCTTATCCCACCAGGGGAGATGCATGAACAGCTTACTTATTACCAAGTTCTGAAATGAAAAATAAAAAAAAACTGATTTGAAATATTTTCAAAACAAGGAAGTCCTTCATAGAAGGAAGAACAACATATAAATATAGACGAATACCCATGGCCACAATAACTCGAATAGCCGGTCAACCCAAAATTAAAATATTTTTGTCCGCGGTGAAGCCTTTTTTGACTTTGCGAGAAGTCCGCAAGGGGTCTGGCACTGATAGTGCCAGACCCCCGCCAAACCTATCCCCGACTCGTCTAAAATCTTCCCGCAGGCGGAGAAACGCGCGTCCTACAGCGCTAGTAACGAAGGGATTGCTCTCAGGCTATCGTTGGAGCAACTGTAGCTATTACCGATCGAAATCAAACAACATCGATGCTGCTTACCGATCTTTACAACTATGACTGAAAATAAAAGAAGGTTTTCGAGCTCTTACATACCAGAACACATCCATATGGCTTTCAGTTTCCACTGTGAGCTCTCTTTTACATGAATGCCTTGAGCAGAAGCTGTAAAAGGAAAGAAGCTTCTCGTTAGCACCATTACTTATCATCTGTGGCACCCTTACAGAAGCAACAGCACCGACAATAACAAGGTTGCGCCTAAATCCCACCGGCCAGAGGTACGCCCGTGGAGCTTTAATGACGAGTTTCCGAGTCGGATGATTATCGGAAATTGTCGGCTATTCCGATATGGCCAATAACAAGGATCACAGCAGCAAGAAAATAACATCAGCTATATGCGATGTCGTGCTGCGATCCTTATGGCCAGCGTTACACATCAATAATCTTTGGAGGAAAACCCATCAAGCTCTGGTCATTCGGGCGTTTTCCCGCGCTTTTAGCAGTGTGACTGTTTTAACTCTTATCTCTCATTGGCTCGTTACCATAACTCTTTTTGCTCTGATTGGACAATGTGATGACTTTAGTTTGGCTTCCAAGACACTCTATCACAACGCGCTCTTCAGTGGAGAGACATGACCTAAAATAATTTTGACTTACCTCCCCACTCAGTGCCGGAGTTGTCCGCAGTGACTGTGTGTGGAGATTGTGGGTTCATGTTTGCGTCAGCAATAGCCAAGGAATTCTCGAGCATTTTAGTTAAAACTGTGTTTGATTTAGTTTTTGCCTTCACCCATTCATCTTCAGGAACGGCGACGAACCGAGCCAAATGGTCTGTGGTGCTTTTCAAAATGGCTTTTCCGTTCTTGCTCACTCCAAAGAGAATATTCTCGTCCTTGTCATGTCCAACCAGAGTAAGAAGACGATTATCCAAGCCTGTATATTGTGTATCAAATAAAAGCATATTTAAAACGTCTTGTCGCTTGATGCTAGTCATTAGTCCGTACCGGGTCTTGATCATTTAGAACGAGCAGGGATGTGGAAAAGAATGTGGAGGCACCACATCGTCCAACAGGAGGTAGCTATTCCCTTCTATTCTGTTTCTACTAGACCCATAAGCTGTTTTAGTTAAAATGTTTCTCTCTGCTTCTCGCTTAATATGATTTTGTCGTATGCGCGTCATTTTCAACTTTTTAATTTTGTTATTTGGTTGTATCATGTTGTTTTTCCTACCATTCTTACCAATTCCCCCCCCCCTCCCCCACCCCCGCCCCACAAACCCTTTTCAGTGAACATAGCTAAGCTTTTGAAAGACTCAATGATTTTACCTGTCCAAGAATTGCCTTTGTCTTGACTACGAAAGCAATTTGGTGCACTTTTACTTCTGCAAAATTAAAATAAAACAATTGTATAAATTTCAAGGGTTTTTCATATTCTTCACTGCCACATGTCTTTAGCAATCAAACTTTACTTGGTCACGGATGTCTTTGTCTGTTTGTTGCGTGACTCACTGTTAAGAAGGTCTTACCCTTTCATTGGCACGCTGCAAACATACATGACGTCAGAGCTCTTGTCCAACAAGTAACCGCGACTTGTGAATGTCAAAGAACCTAAAAAAAATCATTGAAAGTTATTGTGTCACTTAAGTTACTGGGCCGCATTGGTTAAGATATTACCGCGTGAGTCAATCAAGAAATCACCATGGCAGTCAGTCAAAACAAACGAATGTTACGGATTTTAGCCAGCCTGTCAGTCGATAGTCAGTAAGTTGGTCAATCAGTCAGCCAGCCATTTAGTATTTTAGATAGTATTCAGTAAGTCTATCAGTAAGGTAGAGAGTCAGGTAGTTAGTGAGTCGGTCAGTCAGTCAGTCAGTCAGTCAGTCAGTCTGTCAGTCAGTCAGTAAGTCACTTAGTCAGTCGGTCAGCCAGCCAGTCAGAAAATCAGTCAGTCAGTCAGTTAATCAGCCAGTCAGCCAGCCAGGCGGCAAGCCAGTCAGGCAGTCAGTCAGTCAGTCAGTCGATTCTTGAAGAGCTGACATATCAAGCGTTAGACCTGTCATTCTCCTGACTTGAAGTTTCAGATATCAAAAAGTACTAACGTATCGAGACGTACCCGAGGAGGGTGCAGGACCAATCGTGCACCCGAAGAACTCCACCCTGAGAGCAATACTGCTGTACCACCCCACAGGATTGATACGGATAAACCGAGCCTGGATACAAATCTGAAGCACAATAATCTGAGTGTAGTCGTCATTGGTGTTTGCCGCAAATTCCTTGAAAAGCAAACAGAAAAAGAAAACAAATTTTAAAAAAAACCATCGTCAGGCATATGAAACGCCTCTAAGTTATATATAACAGGAAAACATTAACAGCTGATATACTTTATATTTACTCTTTACCTCGTCCTTTTCGGCCAAAATAGTCTTCGTCGCGCTTTTATCGAGAGGCGTGACTAAATCGGATCTTACATGATTGCGTTACCTTGATCTTACTTCCTTCTTTATATGGTTTCCAAATGACTCCATCATCGCTGTAGAAAAGGGAAAGTCTGGTGACGAAACTGCCATTGAAACCTTGCGTGGTGAGTCGGCAGACCTTGGCTACTTTTGTGAAATCGACTTGAAGAAACTGTGATTTTCCCTTCCTAAGGTAATGATGAAAAAGAAAATCAGAAAAACTGGGTTACGTTATCACCTAATGTAACTCTACGTTTCAATCATGGAAATCAAAGTAAAATAAATCACGTATTGTTATGAGCTTGAAAGGAGTCAAAATGCGAGCAGAAAATTTGCGCATCTTGAAAATTTTAAGTTTAAATGCGTCTTTTTAAGATCGCAATTTCCCAATTTGCCTTAATGAACTCCTTTTATTAAATCTACTTCATATACCACCCCGAGAAAAAAACGCCGAAAGAAGGTTTTCAGGTTTTCATGCCCCCCCCTCCCCCCCCCCCGGTATATATAATGCCTGAGTATATACGGTTATTTTATGACCCATACACGCCCAAAGATGAAA